GCCTCCTTCAGAAGGGGAACAGGTCTAGGTGGGGCCCTATTGAGGTTAAGAACATGGGAGGTAAAACCAACCAGCCTGGGTTTGAATTCCTACTCTTGTGTTGCCGGCCCTGTGACATTGGGTAAGTTACTTCACCGCTTGCTGCCTCGGTTTCCTCATTTGTCACATGGGGATAATAGTATCTCCTCAGTGGCTGGGAGGGTTGGGAGGGTTGAGATAACACGTGTAAAGCATTTAGCACAGCACCTGGCGTACGGTGGACCCTCAACTGCTTGTTGGTATTTATATCACTGGCATTGGCTGTGTTTGAAAACTTCCTGAAATACTGCCACGCTGTTGGAGATTTAGGGGTGTCACCTATTATAAAGAATTAAGATGGGAGCCGAGCAGAGATCGACACAGTAATTGATCAAAGCTGGCTTAGAGGGCCTGGCTTAGGGGCGAGGCCACAGTGTGCCCAGAGCTCAACACAGTCACCCAGAGGCAACTGCGGACACCTGGGGCCTCTTCCTCAGGATAGGGCTCACACGGGCCAACTCACCACCAGCCAGGGAGGCCAGGCGGTACCCTCCTGGCGGACTGGTGCACAGAGCCCAGAGAGCCCAGAGGGTCAAAGAGGAGCACACCGGCTCCCTTATCAAGAGTGGGTGGTCAGCGGGACCCCTCACCTCTCTGGTGAGGAGTGTCCCAAAGGAAGACTTGAAAAGAACCTGAGGGCAAAGGGAGTTTAAGCCCCGGTGTAAACTTTTATAGAAATTTAAATCTTGGGGCTCATCTGTGGAAAAATTCACCGTTTCCCTCTCTGCTACTCACCCTATACACTTTGAGCCCTTTTGATGCCAGATGTGTGGGTTTTTTCCCCACACTGGCCAATTCAACACCAGCCGGGTGTCCTACGGTTCAGTTCAGTTCTGACACCAACTGGGAGTAAGTACAGACCCCACAGCTTAAGGTGTCAGTCCCACTAGATCGTCCCTCACTTCAGACACCAAATGAAAGTAGTGGGCCCCTAGGTTCCCCACGACTTCTGCCCAGCTTGGCTACAAATTGGCGGTCCCCAGGACCCCCCTCCTTGATTTTGCTCGTTGGCCAGAACAGCTCACAGAGCTCAGGGAAACACTAAATTAGGCTTACCACCTTATTACAGGACATGACAAGGGAGGCAGATGGACAGCCAGATGAAGAGCTACATAGGGCAGGGTCTGGGAGGGTCCTGAGTGCAGCAGCTTCTGTCCCCGTGGACTTGGGATGCACCACTCTCATGAGTATTTGTTTATGATGTAGCTTCTGTTGAAGGAAAAACAATAAAAGAACTAAAAATTCAAGTGTCCATCAGCAGAGATGGGAGGTGAGGTAGGAGTTTGAGAAAGTATTTTCTCACCTTTTAGAGTGGGAGGTCAACAAACTGTTTGAAGTAAAAATATCAAGAATTAGAGGTGTCACCATATTTACAGTTATGCAGGCATCCCTCAGAGTGAAAAATCGGTCCAGTTAAATATGGTTATCACTAGGGCATGAATATGCTCAGAGAGGGGAGACTTTCTTTTGAGTTTTTATTGCTACCTGTGCCCCATTTTGAGTTGTATAGTAACATAAGCATGTATTTTCTTGTTTTTGTACTTTCTTGAGGTGTAATTCACATTCTTAAGTATATGATTTGATATGTTTTGATAGGTACACACTTGTGAAACTATCGCTGCAATTAAGAGGATAAATATATCTATCACCCCCTCCTCCAAAAAAAAGCCAGATTTAGGTTTTTTTTAATATAGTCTATATTTAGGAATTTATGGGCTTTAATTCTCTTTGGGCTACAGCATGACTTAATTTAGAACCTTTTTTTTTACTTCAAGGGGTATTCTAATGATGATACAGTGATTTTTTTGAAGTCTGTAGTGTTGTATTCATGTGATCTTCTTACGTATCCTGAGGAAAACCTATAAAGGTAATAAGAACCTCTGGTGATTTTTTTTTTTTAATGATCTGTTTCCCATAGAACGTCTAGTGGTTAGATGGTGGGATTACAGACTTTGGATTGGGGAATAGACACTCAAGTCTTCCTTGCTTTCCAAAGGCTCATCTGTCCTCGGAGGTGTTTACTCCAGCCAGAGCTTCCCGAATGCATACACTGCACGCTTGAGTAGGAGTCACAGGCTAGGGTGTCGGAATAACATGCCTCCATTTAATAAAGCTTGGCTTCTCCTCCCCTTCCCTCCCCCCTGCCCTCCCAGCACTTCCTCCCACCTGTGGCTGCCCCTTCCGCATGCAGTGGGAGTTAGGGTGAGAGGTCAATTTGGAGTCCGGAGTGCGAGTTGGAAACAGAATTTCTGTAGAAACCAGCCTAAGATTTATGGTTAACTACGCTTCATGATGCCATTAGTGCCAACAGCTGAGCTGTGCTCTGGGTCAAATATGGGGGCTTTTGTGGTTTTTGGGTTCCCTTTTGTTTTGTTTCTGTGGGCTGGTCTGGGAGCAGAACCGACGTTTTGTATCATTGTTTCTATGGGGAAAATGCCTTCAGTGTTCCAAACAGGCACACAAGTGAACTTTTGAAACACTGCCTGTTCGCAGGCTTATAATGGTACTTGCCAGAAGGGGTTTGTGTTTAAAATAATGTAGTTTGTCTTCGCCTAAGGGTAATACGTTTCTCCAAATCAGAGACTTGCCTGAGAATTCTGGGACAAATGTGTTCGGATTGATTTGATACCGAATGAAACTTAGAGGGCAAATGTGTTAGGATTGATCCGGTTGGTTTAGTTAGCGGATTATCATGTTCCATCGGCATGGGCTGCTGAGTTTAACAGCATCTTTCACAGGTCAGTGGGAATGTGCCCGTGATGACGATGTTCTGTATTTTAACTAACAGGTTTTCAGGAGGCCTGATATAAGGGTAAGGATATGTGGCTTTCCGCACATGGGCCTCCTACTTGTGTGTGTCTGTGCTTGATCAAACACTCAGTCTATTTAGTGCTCTTTACCTTCTCACTGGGTTTATGAGTCACTCAGATCAACTTGCGCTGCTGTGTCATAGCTTTAAGTGTTCACTAGAAACGCTTTATTCGTCACAGTGTTTTTACGTGCAACAAACGCCAGTGTTTGTGAGGGCAGGGTGCCAAAGTTGTTGCCAGTGTGCAGTACTGACTTTTGTTGGGTTACATGAATTCTGACTGAATGGATATTCATGGCAGGGGCTTCTGTGGCCAGGCCTTCAGAGTCCTCTTTTTACCTTGTTTGCCATGTAACTCATGCTAAAGAACTTAACAACAACAACAGAGTGCTCATTTGCTGTCCATCCTAAGTCAGATTTCAAGTCACCTTGCTGTGTGCATGCTGAATCGAAGGAACGCAAGTGCTCGTCTCCAGTATAAATTTAGGGGAACCAGTGCCAACGAGTAGTTCTTAAAATACAGATGTAGCTGTTATGGGGACTGGATTACAGTTTATATTTTCCTCATGACTTCCCTTCCCTTTATTTCAGAATATTCATAAAGCAAGACAAAGATTGGTAATGTGCATGTGTTTGAAACTGAGTATCAGATGTTGAAAACTAACCTATTTCCATTCAGTGAAAATAACGTGGATTTTAACAGAATACTTTAATGACTTGGGTTTAAAAATGTTAATCTTAAGAGAAGCCAATGAAGCCGTACAAACACAAGCAGGTTAAGTCAAATTCTTGTTATCCTAGTTGGTGTATCTTTGTTTAATCTTGTTTTTCATCATGTTTTCCTTTGCTCGTGGGAATCATTTTCTTTCACTGATTCACGTTGTTAAATATTCGTCTTTGGCTTTCTGTTTGCATGGACTTTGAACTACTGTGTGGTTTTTGGTTATTCAGTCATTCGTTTTTCTGTTTTCAAAAAATTTTTATCAAAGAATGATTCCTTTTTCTTTGCATTTAAAAAGATGGAAGTTTCAAAAAACATTGCATTTTAAAAATTACCCTGCTTTGAAGGGTAGCAGTAACAACTGTGTACTAAATTCAGTCTGATGATAAATGTATTAAGTAGCTATTTTAGTGTATGGACAAAAATGAAAGGTGAGAAACAGTAACTCTTTTAAAGCTTAGCTACTTCCTCACTGATTGCCTTTTAAAGAAATGCAGTCACGGGAGCCCAAGTTTCATGAAGAAAAAAGTATCATGTTAATATTTTCAGCCTCAGAGAGTTGATAAAACTTTTAAAAGGGGTTATAGTCTTGTCGTCTTCGGCATTTATAGGCTTTCTACCACCTGCTGAACCAGCAGTCCAACCTTTAAAGTTTCCAAAACAAATTGCTTCTATGGAGAAGTTAAATTAAGCACAGTATACCTTTAAAGGGATTGGAAAACACTGAAATAAAGATATGTGACCTTTTAGCTGTCTCTTGGAAGCACATTGATACTGTAACTAGAAATATTTAAGGTGGTATGATTCATAAAGCACAGTATTTATTTAGCGGTAATTAACAGATCCCATGTGTATGTATGTCTCCAGCATGTACCATGTGCATGTGCATGCGTGTGGAAAGCTCGTTAATACTAGTGCAGTTGAGCCCTGAACAGTAGTTCTTTAGTGTACATGAATACTTACTGTGTTTAAAATATATGTCTACGAACTGCCTCTGTATTTTGGCTTGGTTTTGTCCTTTACTTGGTTACAATGGTATGCTTTATTTTCTCCAAGCATATTATGTGTCTGTTATTTTGTTTCTTTGCCATATGCTGTAGTATTGCTTGATTTTAAAAAGACAGTGCCTTCTTTGAAATCCATGATGTTTGTTTGCTTTTCATTTTTCTACCCCAACACAAACACAGAATAGATACTGCATTTTAGGCTGAGGATGCTATTTCCTTAACTCCAAGGGGGAAAATGTGATTTGCAAAGCCATGAAAGGTGTGTCGACTTTTACATGGTTACTGTCTCTTTAAAAAAGAACTTCTGTCCTTTCACCTGTCTGTTTGTACGTGTTTCTCTTTCTCCTCTTTGCCTTTTCTTGTCCATGCACCTGGTGCTGTGCAGGAGATTCAGGAAGAACACAATGGCTACCCTTCTGAAGCTGAAGCTGATCAGGTGGCAAGTTCTACGTGTTCATCTGTTTGTAGCTACAGATCGTGTACTTAGAAGCCATTTCATACTAGATTTCTAGATGATAAGCAAATGCTTTTACCACTATAGCAGTGCCCTCCTGTCCGAGTTTGGTAGATTCCATTATGACATTATTTGCAAAAATTGGTTTATCCAACATTTTGTCAACCAGAAATTTGTTCATTTGTGCTTCTTGGTCTTCCCAGGTAGGATTAGCCATGAGGTAGTGAGCAGTCACGACAGGGTTCAGAAATGCCTCTACAAAGATTGAGAGGGGACAGATGCATATGCTCAGGGCGCTCCTTGAGGATGTAGACGTTGCTTTATTCAAATTCGCAACGTCCGTGCCCAACATGATACCTGGCATCTTACAAGTATTTGTGGAGCGAGTCCATATAGTTTGTATTTATTAATCAGAAGAAGAAATCATGCATCAAGTATTCTTGAGTGCTTACTCTTTGCTCAGTGCCTTTAGACTCTCTGGAGGCTTTGAAAGCAGCGCAGCTTTCTCCAGAGTTTATGTCGCATCTTGATACATGAAAGTGCTAGAAGAGGAGCTCCAGGGAAGCATGGCCAGCCACTCCCACACCCCCCATGCTCAGCTGTGCCTTTGCCCAGCCCGCCCTTCTTTGGTGACCTTGGAAGCACCTTGAAGTGCCTGATTTGGAAACCACTGCTTTTGGCGTGCAGCCACTTGCAGACACTGCCCACCCAGCAGCCTAGACTCACGATGAGGAAGGTGGTAGAGGAGCCGGGCCATTCGGGGGCAGGGTCCTCGGGGACGAATTCAGGGAGCTGGTGGGCCTTCTGCTGCGCTTTCAGGGTCACTGGAACAGGAAATTCTTCAGCTGGGCAACACTTGGAGCAAAGACACCAAGAGGCCCGGGTGTGTGCGTGAGATCAAATTTTGTCCACAATATTCCATTCTCTGATTATACTGCACATGGGTTGGATAAATCAAGGGTCAAATCATGTCTTGTGCAACTTTGTAGTTGCAGTCAAAGCTTAATATAGCACAAGTGTGAGTCCCATTTCCTAACACCAGCTTTATAAAGGGAATCTACTGTACTCACAAAATAATGAGCCTTTAAAAACTATTCTCTTGAATTCCTATGGTGAAGGTAAATGTGTTTCCTGTACAAAATAAACCTTTTATGGGAAAATCAGAAGCAGTGGGATCATTTGTTTTGTTCTGATAGGTGCTTTTCCATCATTATAAAGCATGCCCCAGATTTAATTCCTGTGAGTGAGAGGTTTGTCTCATTCTGTCTCGCCAGCCCGTTCATGCCTCACGGAAATAACACAGGTATTTAAAGCTGAATCTATCATGACTGTAGAAGAGAGGAGACGTGGCCTCTATCTTGAGAGCCTAGTACATTCTCAAAATGATCCCAGTCACCGGTGTGTCCCATCTGCAACATTTTAGTAGCTAGTCCTGGGTTGAGGACTTTAAGGTATTTGATATGGCTCGTTATAAAGCTTAATGTGAATCACATCTCCCCACACCCCGGACCGACCCCCCCCCATTCCAGGTTCAGTTGATTAGAACATCTTGCTTTAGTACATATATTTCAAAATAACCTATCCTCACTTATTTTTAAATATAAGTTAAGGAATTTAGGTTTATAGTTGATAATATTTAGCCTTTAAAATAAGCTTTAATAGTGTAATATTTGAAGTAACTTTAAACTTAGATATTTATTGAACTAGTTTTCTCACTTTGTAACTGTCATAAAATTAGTCACTGGTTCAGACAAGAGAAAGCAGACTTTCAAATTAAGGCTTCTGTTAAGACTGGTGATGCTGTTAACATTTCTAAAACTGGACATTTAAAAGTATAAATATTGGCTAATGCTTTATTGCATTAAAGATGTTTCCAAATTGGGTGTGAGTATAAAAATGATTCCATTAACAATTCTCCATTTAACCTTTAACAGTTCTCTGTGTCCCTAAAAGTTTTGGCTGACACTGTTTTAAAAACCAATCCAGACTAAAAAATTGAACTGAATAAAATTGTTTGGAGGTAACAGCGACCCTCAATTTGTATTTTAACTGTGTGTCTTAATAAGGAGGATGGACCATGTCATTTTGTGCCCTCCGTATAGGACAGACATACCCTGATCAACAGTTAGCATTGAATCTGCTTTTTATGTTTTGCCTTTGTTCCTTTCTTTGTTTTATAAAACAATGATAAAACTACGATGTGTAAGGTTTTTAAACTGACCTTTAAGTCCCATTAATAAAACATATTGAAATATTCTTGTAACCATGCAAATCATGGTTGTTTTGAATTTTGAATAATTTAGAATTATAAAAGATATTCATTTTAAAAATTTTACTTCACAAAATTATGCTGAAAATTTAGTATTGTCTGACCTGTTTTCCATTGAACACTAGTGGCCTCCCGATGTTAACATTTTTTCGCGAAAGCAGCCCCTGATCAAATAGGTACTGGAAATGCCGCATACTCTAGTGCCCTCTTGCTGATTCGGTGTGCATTAACATGCTAAAGACTTGTCTCACTAAAATAAGAAATTTAAAAAAACACAGTTTAGCTTTTCTTTAACCCAGTATTACCTAAACTTCGAAGAAAACAAAAAAGACTACATCTCCTGGGAATTTAATGCTCTATGAAATACGGCTTGGGAATTGCTGAGGTTTTGAACACCTTATTCTTATTCGTGACACATTGTGTCAGAGATGCTAAGGAGAAAGTAACCAGTTTCCTTGGCAGTATCTCATGGGGTGGCAGTAACTTGGGATAGGCCCCTCAGGCTCCTGTCCATAGCTTTGTAGTTCGAACACCATTTTCTCAGTTCCCCTGAGCCATCCAGCACCATCCGAGCACACTCACAAGAAACTGGCTAGTTGGGCAGCAGGGCCAATCTGGACATTTGGGAATATGGGCGTGTATCTCCGCAGCCATCCAAGACAGCATTTTCCCAGTATCATTGTAGCCAGGAAGCCTAATAAGTCATTAGCAATTTGCTTGGTGAGTGTGGAATCCACGCAGAGGGCATTGGTTCCAGAAAAGGCTGATGGACACACCCTGTTCCACAGTAGTGATGGGCATTCTCGTCTGCCAGATGGGAGCACGCGCTCACAGCCTGGATGGGACGCACACTGACAAGCCCACTCGCCACCCTCCACCCCCACGCTTTGTGCGCACACACGGGTAGCTGAGCTGCAGCACGGAAGCCCAGGGCTTTCCTTAATGTTACTGCCATGAGACCCCCTCCCTGGTTAAAGATCAGACTTCAGAGTTTCTCACACTAGATAGTGCTCACAGGCTGGGTGGGGAATGTCTACAGCTAGCTAAGCACCTACATCTAATGTTGACTTCATTTGTGTTAGTTTCATGCTCAGAAGGTAACCTTTTTCTGACCTTATGTCCAAATTCTGGAGGCACCTTATGATAGCTGTCTGTGTAGTGATTACAGTATCTATCTGTCATGTCAAGCCATTTCTGTATTAATGCTTTGTAACTGTGAATTAAATATGTGTAACAATTTGCTAGAATATGCAGCATGGTGTCCTGTGATGCTGAGCTTTGAGATTGTCTTGTAAGGGGAGGGGGCGTCCATTTTGCACGCTTCTGTAGCCACGTAGCAAGAGCACAGAACGCCACAATTCTTCTGGGTATACAGCAGGAAAGTGAGATTTACTCCTGTTTGGTTTTTTGCCAGGCTCTAAGAGATGGAAATAAACTGACACAGATGGAAGAAGCGCCACTTTTTCCAGGAGAATCAATCAAGGCCACTGGTAAGTATAATGAGTACACTTTGCTTATAGGGAGCCATAAAATGAAATGGCACTTGTGAGCACAGGTGATGTATATGCTGGAGATCAGCCAAACCAATTTAATTAGAGGACGAAGGAACTACGTCTATTCATTCTTATTAATGTCTTCATGACCTGAAGAGAGAGAAGACTATATAGGACCACTCTAAGTTCCAACTGAGTGTGAACCGAAGGCTGATTAGACGCCGACTGTAAAGTAATGGTTTGTTGCAGTCCTTCACTGTAAGGAAAATATGTTGACAGAAGATCCATATCCTATTTTAATAAAGTTTTGAGAAGTTGGCAGAGCAATTTCAGTGGCTTATGAGATTCCAGAAAGTACAGTTCGATCACAAGGAAAAGAGCGTGTGTTGCCACCCCGCGTTGTAACGGCGGCAGCGTGAGCAGCGCCAGGCATTTCGGCAGCCAGTGCACCGTGCCGTGGGTGCGAGGGAGGGCGGCTGGTCACAACCTGGTCACCTCATGATGGCCGGGGTGGGTTGGATAGTCTAGTTGCCAGGCAGAGTGTTGCCTTCTTTCCTCATGGCGCCCTCTCATAGAGACTGTGCTCAGTCTCAGAGTATAATCGTCTTGTGTCAAGAACGTCTGAGTAGCTGGGCTCTCCTACCAGGACCTGCAAACAATACTGCTGCTGAGTATCCTGGTCTGTGGCTCCAGACCCTGCTTATCCCATCCCATCCATGGTTTTGAAACTCTTGTCTTTAGCTTCTGGAACTTCTGGCCTCTCTGTTCCTTCTCTGGGAGTTCCTGTAGTCCTGCCTCCACACTGCTTTTGTAATGATCTGACTAAAATGCAGAGCTAATTACATCATGCCTCTCCTTCTCTAGACAGGAAAGCACACAGATTTCAAATATACAACATGAAGAGTTTTGACACATTATACACCTGGGAACCCATCATCACAGTCAAGATAATGAACATATCCATCACCCCCAGAAGTTTCCTCGGGCCCTTTATAATCCCTGCCTCCCACTCCGTCTCCCCCATCCTAAGCACTGTAGACTGTATTTTTTACGGTTTTATAGAAATGTAATCATTGAGTATTTCCTTCTTTTGTCAAGTTTCTTCCACTCAGCATAATTAGTTTGATATGCTTCCACATTGTGGCAAGGGTCAACACTCGTTCCTCTTTACTGCCAAACAGTGTCCTATTGTGTGGCTACAAGACAGTTTGCTTATCCAGTCATCTATTGGTAGATATTTGGGCTCTTTCTACTTGGCGGCTGTTACGGATAAAGCTGCTGTGAACCTTCATGAATAGGTCTTCTCTGGCCTCATGTGCTATCATCCTTGCTGCGTGCTTTGACCCAGCCCCGCTAACATCCAACAACTCTGTGCTCTCTTCTTCCTCCCTCCCTTTGCCCCATCCCTCCTCACCCTCCTCCTCCCCTACTGATCTGAGTGGATCCTTTTCTGAGCTCTTACTGTGTCCACAGGGTTATGATAGCATTTGTGAGGCTATAGTATAATGGTGATTTTTTTGTGTAGTGCCTCTCCTAGGGCTTGGCTGTTTGTAAGCAGCGACTCTGCCCGCGTTGCCCTCTAAGCCCAACAACAGGCGCTGCTTGTTAGATACTGAGCTGTGGAAAAGTCTAATGGAAGTGTTTTGAGAATCTGGCTGGATGACAACTTTAGTGCCTTTAAATGTCCCACTGAAACTCCTATGTAGCCGTGTACGCCCCTGTTATTCCTGTGGAGTGGCACTTAGAGAAGATGGTGAGAATGTGGTACCTTTGGGACGGGTGTGACCTTCCGAAAACCTGCAGGAATCCAGTATGTTGTTGAGAGTGATGCTAAATATGTTGGATCAACAATAAGAAAACTCGACATGGAAGCTGATAAGGAATTTGAGGCAAAGAAGCCATTTTCCAGTCTACTGATGCGGTTCTAGTTTTTGTCATCTGTAAAACAGTTTCCTTTGCAGGTGCATTAGCTCTCAGTAGTAGTAATTTATGAAACAGCAGCCCAGGGTCTTGAGAGTTTAATTAATGTGTTTTTGAATATGATGAATTTATCACTCAGGGAAAATGTTAACTACCTGGAGAACAATGACAAAATGTAACTTATTTTGAGGCCCTTTACTTAAGTGCCTCCCTAAGAAACAAATCAGAATTTTGTTTTACAAAATGAAATTTTCTTTCTTTCTTTCTTTTTTAATGTTTATTTATTTTTGAGACAGAGAGAGACAGAGCATGAACGGGGAGGGTCAGAGAGAGGGAGACACAGAATCCGAAGCAGGTTCCAGGCTCTGAGCTGTCAGCACAGAGCCCGACGCGGGGCTCGAACTCACAGACCGCGAGATCATGACCTGAGTCGAAGTCGGCCGCTCAACCGACTAAGCCACCCAGGCACCCCTAAAATGAAATTTTCTTACAAAGACTAGCTATGTTGTTATTTAATGTAATAAAAATGTAAAATTCCTAGAAAACTGGCATCACAAATATATATATGTGGAAGCTCAAGAGTTATTGAAGCCCAAGTCTATGGCAGAAGTTGCTACTTTGGGTTTTTTCTTTCAGTGAAAGACGTCATGTACATTTGTCCATTTGTGGGAGCAGTGACTGGAACCCTAACAGTGACGGACTTTAAGATGTACTTCAAAAGTGTCGAGAGGGTAAGTTTTTAAAGGGGTATTTTATTTTTAAAGACACTTCAAAACAAAGTAAACAATAACGAAGAAAGTACAAAGAACCCTGAAACCTGAAATCCCATCACCCTGAGAGGACCGGAGGATAAGTTTTAACATGTGCACGTTTGCAAACAGATTGTGCATCTGGGAAAAAATGCTATTAAAGTAGCAGTCACAGGGGTGCCTGGGTGGCTCAGTCGGTTAAGCATCCCACTTCAGCTCAGGTCATGATCTCACGGTTTGTGGGTTCAAATCCTGCATCGGGCCCTGTGCTGACAGCTCAGACTCTGCAGCCTGCTTTGGATTCTGTGTGTCCCTCTGTCTGCCCTCCCCCCGCTCAGGCTCTGTCTCTCTCTGTCTCTCAAAAATAAATAAACATTAAACAAATAAAAAAACCCAAAAAAATAAAGTAGCACTTACACCTGGTGGGAGGCGTTGAGTTATACTCTTGAACATCTACTTCATAAAGCAGGTTATAAATCAGACTTTGGTTTTGTAGTTGGGACAAAGAGGAAATGTGACATAAACAAATGTGTGTTTTAACCCAGCAAATACTTCAAGTATGAAAGCACTGCTGACCAACAGTGATAGGTCTTCCTTTTAATTTGTCAACCCAGGACCCGAATTTTGTTCTTGATGTTCCCCTTGGTGTGATCAGCAGAGTTGAGAAGATCGGAGCACAGAGCCACGGGGACAATTCCTGTGGTATAGAGATCGTGTGCAAGGTATTGTACAAACACGGCTGAAACAGAGGGGGCGGTCAGCTTGGAGCTTTTTCTGATGCATTCTTCACGGTCTTTGGGCAGTGAGACTAACCGCTACTGTTAGTAACTCCAGTGTTTTCTGGACAGGGGCCTCTTCACAGCTTGTATCGGCTAATTCTTACCACTATGTAAGCAGTCTAAGTAAACCTCTTCTTTTCTGTTGAAGTGTTCTGATAAATGCGGTCCTGTAACCGCTGGTGTTATTTGTTACATTTCAGAGAAACCAAGTGAAAAGCAGAGATCAATACTGTTTTTTCAGTTTGTTGTTTTAACACTACCCTTCAAAACAGAGGATGGTCAAAGATTTCCTGAAGGAACAGCAGTATTCCATAAATTCTGTGATTAAACACACAGTGTCAGCACTTACACCTGAGCCGTGCTTATGTTTGGTTTCCTACCCTTTCTCCATTGGGTTAAGTAGAAATGTGTGTGATTACTTTAATGATGACTGGTCATTTAAGAAACACTTTAACTGGTATATTTTATTCCCTAATACTTTACCTCATGGGGCACACGTTATTAATACCCCTACCTAAAGTACTGGGAAAGAGCCTGTGCAGCATCGCCAAGGTCCCTTCCAACAGTCGGGGTTTGCATTCCTGCCCATCTGTTTGCTGCGATCACGTCTCTGAAGATAGCTCCCTCCGGTTGGCCCCAGAGTGCAGTTGAACCCACTTTTTCTTTTTTTTTTTTTTTTTTAATTTTTTTTTAACGTTTACTTATTTTTTTGGGACAGAGAGAGACAGAGCATGAACGGGGGAGGGGCAGAGAGAGAGGGAGACACAGAATCGGAAACAGGCTCCAGGCTCTGAGCCATCAGCCCAGAGCCCGACGCGGGGCTCGAACTCACAGACCGCGAGATCGTGACCTGGCTGAAGTCGGACGCTTAACCGACTGCGCCACCCAGGCGCCCCGAACCCACTTTTTCAAAGAATCCTTTACTCTTGCAGATCATGAATCTGCTGGCACACTAGACTCCCTATGGACACTACATGGCCGTGCTGTCCTGTGCCAAATTGCATTTGCCCTTCTAGAACAGGCCGGGGTTCCACATGCGGAGATGTGTGAAACAGTTGTGCAACTTAAAGCAGAGCGATGATTTGATCCTGCATTTTGGGAACATGACATTTCCCTTCTTAGAACTCCCCAGTAGTTTGCCATCATCCTTAGGCTAGAGGGAAAATTTACCCAAAGCCCGCGTGTCTGAGCTGGATGACTGCCGCCTGCAGTGTCCTCTCCAACCACCCTACCCTCCTTCTTGCCATCCCAGTTCCTTTAATATGCTCCGATCCACTTGCTTTGGAATCTTCGCACTTGTTCTTTCCTTTGCCATGTGTTCTTTCCTTTGCTGAGAATGCTTTTCTCTCTCAGCAATCCTAACTAGCAAGAGAGCTCAATGAGCTACCATGTCTGTAGTGGGAGGAGCTTGGAGGGAGGGCACACCAGGAAGTTACATTGTTTAGGCAGGTGCCTTGTGGCTGTTTAAAGATGTTTTCGTGGCTGCGGTGAGCATTTGCTAATAGCTGCTTTAAAATGTTTTCCAAGCAGTGTGGAGGTTCCTCAGAAAATTAAAAATAGAC